GGTTTTGCTGTGCTGTGTTAAATCATATTTGCATGACTGCATGTGTATTATTTTGAGAATAGCAAAAAACCGTCATCCCCATATTACATAGTGTTTTATTGGTCGCTCGTCTATTTCACTTCCCACAGCTTAACCACTCATATATTTTGATGCCGCTCGACGAGGCGAGTAGTACGAGTACCACTTTGATGGGTCTGCGACTATTCCTTCTAGAGGTATTGCCAAAAAACCACAAACATCCCAGAATCCTCTCCGTTTGGGGTCCAAATGTTGTCGCTTATTATATCCCATAAGAAACGTCGCATCGAATCAATGTAATTGAATTCTACTCGCCTGGACGAGCGGAATTGAATGGTGACACTGGTTTTGCTGTGCTGTGTTAAATCAGATATTTGCATGACTGCATGTGTATTATTTTGAGAATAGCAAAAAAGCGTCATTTCCATATTACATAGTGTTTTATTGGTCGCTCGTCTATTTCACTTCCCACAGCTTAACCACTCATATATTTGATGCCGCTCGACGAGGCGAGTAGTACGAGTACCACTTTGATGGGTCTGCGACTATTCCTTCTATAGCAGGGGTCTCAAACTCAAATTACCTGGGGGCCGCTGGAGGCAGTATCTGGGTGAGGCTGGGCCGCATCAGGTATTCCACAAAAAAAACTTTGCTAAAAAAATCAAACTTCTCAAATGTCATTACTAACAGTTATTTAACTTCAATGGGTTCTTCTGAACATGAATAGAATATTGAAGAACATGAACGGTTCTCATGAACATGGCTTCTCTTGCCTACTTCTTGCTGCCGGAGACCTGGCAGCGCTTCCTCTCACATAGCTGAGCCACATTTGGCTTGAGGGAGGAAGCAGTTGCGACCCTCAGTATGGCTTGAAGATGATCATCAGTAAGTCTGGACCTGTACTTGGACTTATTGAAGTTCAAGGTGGAGAAGAGCTTTTCACACAAATATGTGCTCCCAAAAAGGCACATGGTCCGCTTGAACATTCGGGAAAGCTCAGGGAAGCTGGGGTTCAATTCTCGCAAAAATTGCCCAAGCTTGTCGTCTTTTCCACTCGCCTCCCTGAACTTGGCTTTGAGGTCAGAGTTGCACTGCAGGTCAATGAGCTCCATTTGAAGCACAGGAGGGGCATCTTGCACATCAAAGGAGAAGGGATCCGCAAACATTTGAAAAGTGGCTCTGTGCGTCTTGAAGTCTGCAAATCTGTGATCAAATTCCTCCTGTAGCCTCAAAATGGCATCAACATACTTCTCACCACTGAATGGTGTGCCTGCATTCAGGAGTGCCTTGCATGCTGGGAAATGGCAAAGGTTTGTCTGAGAGAGCTGGGCTTTCCATAACACAAGTTTTGTGGAGAATGCTCTCACGTTGTCATAGGCAGCACTGACGAGCTGCCCCTGGCCTTGTAACTTCTTGTTCAGTACATTCAGCTCATGCGTGATGTCAACAAGAAAAGCGAAGTCCATGAGCCATTTGGGATCACTTAGCACAGGAACAGCCACCCCATCCTTCTCCATGAAGGCTTTCACTTCTGCTCTCAACTCAAAAAATCTCTTCAAGACGTTTCCCCTGCTGAGCCAACGTACCTCGGTGAAGTAGAGCACATCCTCATATTCTGACTCCATTTCCTCTAAAAAAGTACGGAACATCCGGTGCTTTAAGCCCCTGGATCTGATTTGGTTGATGCATTTCACAACAACAGACATCACATTGTCAAACTTCAGGCATTTGCTGCAAAGGGCCTGCTGATGGATGATGCAGTGCAGAGCAATGGCCTCCTCCACACCCTCCTCTTCTAGTTTTCTTTGAACAAGTGCCACCAGTCCATTTCTCCTCCCTGTCATTGAATGCGCTCCGTCGGTTGTTATTCCAACAAACTTCTTCCATGGCAAACCGGCATTCACAATGGCATCACACAGCTGGCAAAATATCTCCTGAGCGGTGGTGTGGCCATGCATTGGAATTACTGTGAGCAACTCCTCCATCACTTCAAAATTGTCATCAACACCACGGACATATATTGTGAGCTGGGCAGTGTCAGTGATGTCTGAACTCTCGTCAAGAGCGACTGAGTATGCATTGAAAAATTTGGCTTTCTCACGCAGTTGATCAGTAAATGTCACTTGACAGGTCAGAAATGCGCTCTGCCACGGTGTTAGCAGAAAGGCTGATGTTGCTAAACTGACCTTTCTTTTCCAGACAGACTATACTTGCAGCCTGTAAGATGCACTTTTTGATAAACTCGCCTTCTGTGAATGGCTTTCCTGCCTTAGCAATCATCTCACTAACCACGTAGCTTACTTCGACTGCTGCATTATTCTCTTTGGTTGCTTTCTTGAAGACATTTTGTTGCCTCAGTAGACATGTTTTAAGATTAGCAACCCAGTTGGCTCTCTCATCTCCCTGGTATTTTGCATACTCCTCAGCATGTCTAGTTGAGTAATGACGTTTGAGGTTGTATTCCTTGTGCACCGCAACTTTTTCTGAACAAATAAGACACGTCGGGGTGCTCATGTGCTCAACAAAGAAATATTGCATCTCCCACTTTTCCTGAAATTGTCTGTGCTCGTCACCAACCTTTCTCTTCACTGCAGGCTTTGAAAAAGACATGATTGGGGCTGTGTGACAAGATATATCTTCATTCCACTTGCTGTCGCTCACGCAATAAAGTTTCAGTCAATTGTTTAGCCAACCAGCGACGCACGGAGACGTAATTTCCGCAAATTCACGTTATTTCCACTTTTTCCGCCTTTGCTCAAGATGCCACTTTATTAATCACTGACACAAAGACTGATACCGTCACTGCAGTATAGCCTAAATAAGTCCCACTGCATTGTAAGTGGCATGTGTGTGCTGTTTTAAGCGTCGTTTTACATGCGTTTCGGGACCTGTGCTCGTTGTACCTGCGCTGTCATATGTACTTAGCGTTCCGGCACCTTGTGATTTACAAATGAAGCACTGGATACATCATGACCTGCCCGAAAGAGAGCGGAAAACTATGAATTTCACCCTCCTGCTCTCCGCACATCCAAAGCCACTCTTTACTCTCCCGGCTCTCTCTCTCACTCACTCTCACACGTACACAAACACACACACGACCCCGCCCCCCATGTCACTCACATGCATGCCGCATTCACTGGACAGGCACACAGTAGGAAACCAGAGCATCATAACATTGTCCCACACAGCAGCTAACAGCGGGGTTGCTACAATATAAAACTCGCGGGCCGCACTAACATTAAACTTTCATATTAAGGTGGGGGCCACAAAATATCGTCCCGAGGGCCGCAATTGGCCCGCGGGTCGCGAGTTTGAGACCCCTGCCTTAGAGCCTAGTCTCACATGGTGTTGGACTAGATGACGCCTTTTGGCGTCAGGAAAGCTGTCTCGGGTGTGGACCAATCAACTTCAAGGACAATGCATACATTATCAGAGTTATGTTTTTTGTTTGCATTATGACTGCAGGTATTGTGGTCTATGCAAACATGACTTCTTGTAAAAAAAAGGTGTCAGTTTTGTTGCCAGATAAAAGGGTAAAAAAACAATTATCATATTTTTCTACTGGCAAATGAGGTTCCAAAGGTATGTACACAACAGAGAGCTAACTGTGTGGTTGCTTTTGGGATTTCACGCTGCCCTTTTTGTTAATGGCCAGCTTTCAGCATTGCAAAATGGCATCGTTTGGCAGTGTTGTGACTCGCACATTTATGTTCTTGCTTGTGCTTGTGGCTGACCGCAGCCTTGATCCCAGCCCTGCAACAACCGTGACCTCAACACAGACTCCACGCCTATCTTCTTGCACGATACCCATAAAGAGGAGATTCTACATCAGGTGAGAACCTGCTCAGTTCCTTTTTCAAACAGCTAACCAAATTAATGACGCAACTAACGTGATATGTTTGCACGTCCCACCAGAATGGCGTGCGCGATGGCAACCCCAGTGCTTGAGCCTAGCAGGGACTTCCCGGCGTGGCTGGAGGCGCAGGGCGTGAACGAGGAGGTGGCCCGGGCCATGGACTCTGAGCTGGGCATCCGGGACTACGGGGTCCTGCGCGCCTGCATCGGGGACGGCCTCGTGCGTGCCGAGCTGCTTTCCACGGCGCGCGACCGCCTGCCCTTCGGCTTCTACGCCGTGCTGCGGCAGGTGGTGAAGGCCCTGCAGGGTGCCGAGCTCCACAACGCTGGGACGTCACCCTGGGACGCTGCGCCATCTCCGGGCGACGTGACGCTGGGAGGCCTGGTGGACGTGCTGCTCACACTTTTCAGCGGCTTGAGCCGAGAGCTACTGGTTTGCGCACAGAGGCTGGGAGACTTTGATGGTGCTGGGGCCAGTGCCGGACGCTCCATTTCGGACAGCAAGGAAATAATTTTTGAGGAAAAAGCAATGGATGATGCAGATGATCAAGATGTCGATGGTAAAAGTGCATTCGGCTCGCAAAGCAATAATATGTTTACGTTTAAAGTTGTACAATGAGATGTATTCACGCGGAGTATGATAAGTGACGTCGCGAAATGACGTCTAATGTAATGACATCGCCTTAGCAGACAAGGCCTTCAGTGCTGGTTGTCACCTATCCTTGTATCAATTTAGTCGATTTTATTATAGATAAGTTCATAATAGCAACACGACATTTGTGCTAAAATTTTGCTCATATTGGATCATCTTCACAGGAGTTATCGTGGCCTTCTGTTATTGGACAGACGATAGAGCAAATGCATTCACGCTAAACTAAACTATTCTTATTTTACCAGCTAAGGCCCACTGAGCTATATGGCTCTTTTTCAGAAGCGACCTGGCCACAAGAGTGATACCTCGACGAAGTGCCTTATCATCACGTGCAATTGTATGGCAGTCAAATACTTGAACGCATGATGTTGATTCTTAATGTTGAGAGAAAAACCAGAGGACCCGGAGAAAAATCCACTTGACCACGGGGAGAACACGCAACATCCAAATATACAGGCGTCTAGGTCGGGATCGAACCCACGACTTGTATACCAGGCGGGGTATTTAACATTTCCCCACGCTTTTCAACCTCATTTGTCAAGTCTATAAAAAAACGTTTTTGAGCCAGATACAACTACCTGCTCTTTTGGCAGAATCATTTCAAACTGATGAAAAAAAACACTTACGTGGTCGTATTTCTGCCAAATATTAGCCAAAGCAAGCATTGAGGCAATGCTCATCTCTTTTTACAGCACTGATCCAATGGTGAATATTCCATATTCCTATGGCGGGGGCCAGGCTATTATAGAACAACAATTGTTAACTTCCCTACAAAGTCGTACTCATTTTATTGATCCCGGAGGGATGATGACCAAGTCATTCCACCGACCAGGATATAAAATTCCCAAACTCCCGATGGCGATCCGCTTGCTCTACTGCTGAACCACCTGGCCGGAACGCTTACGTCACTGATCATTTTCTTGGTTCTTTCGGTAAAGTCACGTAGAAGGGAAATAATAAAATAATGAGAATAAAACATAATAAAATACAATTCTCACGACGTTTCGGCCACAACACAAGCAGTCGTGAGAATAACATTTTATTATGTTTTATTTTTATTCTTTTATTATTTCCCTTCTACGTGACTTTACCGAAAGAACCAAGAAGATTAATCCCTGCAGTCACGAAAGCTTTAAATCAAAATTCACTGATCTTTGTTCATTTCTCCCCCTCCCCAAATGTTTGTGTGCCTTGCTCTTTGGCCTACACAGAAAATGATGGGCACACCCGGGCCTCATCAGAGGCAGGAGACTGCAGCCCAAACCCGTCGCTGCACATGATCAAAACCGAGGCAAGCTGCGCTGGTGAGTACTTTAAGACGAATAAAAGTGTACACTGTCCCATCCTATCTGTCGCCCCCTGTGATTGGCTGATTTGAGGAGACGAGGGTTTTAGTAACATGATGTGATTATGAAAAAATGACAAGGTTTGATAGAATAGCAAACTAAGACGAGGAAAAATCTTGAAGATGGAACAAACAGTTTTAGAAATGATCGTTGAATGCAGACTCCAGTGGTAGAACGCATTACAAAACCTTCAGAGGCGTGCACTCATCAGCGCGGTGAAGTATGGTTGGTTGAAGGACCCCTGTGACGGAGACGGCGTGTGGAGGCCCTCTTCCAGCAATGGCTTGACAAAAATGGCTGTACATGTGTACACATGTGGTCATGTGCCGCCCAGGATAGAAACAGACACGTGCACGTGCGGAGGACCACGTGTACGTGCAAGTGTAATTCATCCTCAATAATGTTGAACGATTGCTGTTAATTTTTTTAAATTTACATTTTATGCATTTTTTTATTATGGTAAGCGCACAAGCCCGATAAAACGTGTCGATGATTTCTGCGGAGGGGTACAGAAAAACCAAGGGTGGCGGGGGAGGGGGACTTTTGGCACTTGAACATGTATAGGTGTGGGGAAGGAATGCTCGCTACCCCACCCTAACGGGGGGGGGGGGGGGAATGGGAGCTTATGTTTATGGGGGGGGGGAAGATGAGCCGGGAGGAAGTAACCAACATTCTAGGGGGAGATCGGGTATAGTGGGAGGGGACTTGGAAATGGACCATGCTATAAATCATATAACATACATGCGGCTTTATGTGTTGGGGTGACAACCTCTCCTCTTCTGGGTCTGTGTTATCTCAACTGACGAAAGGATAAAAGTGGGGGTGGCGGGGGGGGGAGGGCAGTTCATTTACATTTTCTCTGATTGCTCTTTCCATCTTCTGTTGTTTTGTTCACGTTTACACACGATCGTTCACTTGATCTACGTAAAGTCTTCTGTAATTATCCGCCATCGCAGCCCAAGCTTCGGGCTGGGCACCTGTGAGAAAGAACTTCCCCTGGCTCATCCTGAGATGCAGCAGTGCCATTTTTAAATGTCTGCGTTAATCCACACGTCCGTTGTCTTCTGCCATTCAGACGGTGATCATCAGAGTCCCACGTCGGACCAGAGAGACTCCAGCCCCAGCCAGACGCCGCCCAGGATAGAAAGAGACGCGTGCGGAGGTAAAGATGAGTTGAAAATAAACAAATGTCTTACCGCGTGGAGATGTGACGATGCAAGCATTCATCGATTAATGTTGATTCTCACGCAGATACGTGCACTCAATTGTTTGTGTGGGAATGTTTTTTGCTTTTCGTATACGGCGAAATGTCCCGTGGTTAAAATTGTCTCCAATTATATTCGTGCCTTTGTTTCTCCAATCCAGTGCCATTATCACATTGCAACAGGTACTCATTTAAGGCCAAATCAACCTGGGTGGAGGGTCCCAGGACCGTTTCAAGAATCCTTAGATACTGATTTTCGCCATGGCTGGCAATCAAATCCATGTCGCCAGATTGGTATTGCAGTGCGCTAACCACTACGCCACTGCTCCCCCTCAAGACAAAGACAGACGCGCATGCCTAATGGACAAGTACTGCCCTTTTGTCAATCCGCTGCTGAATGAAGATAACCCCACGTTGGTCAGATCATGGGGGTTATTTGAACATACTTCATTGTTCCTGGTCAGTGCGGGTGGGTGAAGGAATTGATTTTGCCCTGTCGTGGCCATAAAATAAAACATATCCACAATATGACGTCTAAAGTGACTTCTCTGATTATTTTTCCCAAGGTAATGTGGGCTTTGTCATCCAACAAGTGACCTCGCTTCAGGAGATGGGACTGGACCTAACGAATGCAACCAATGTTGACTCCTATCCCTGGCTTCAACAGCAGCAGCAGCAGCAACAACAGCAGCAGCTGCCGGTCGACAAAATACAAATTGACACTGGCTGCACGGTCCCGCCCATGTGTGCCGCTTACCTGCCCAAGCCGCTCACTGAAGATCACATTGACAGGCAGGATGAGGCACCGTCCAGGAGCGACACTCTGCCTCCTGCCGCCGCCGCCGCGTACCGCGTGCCGAACTTTAAGCTGGTGCGGCGGCGGCGCATGCTGCCGGTTCCCGTGCCGGCGATTGCGGGCGGTGAAGACAACAAGCCGTTCCGGTGCAGCGTGTGCGCCCAGCGCTTCTCGCAGCGCGGCAACCTCGAGACGCACCTGCGCACGCACACGGGCGAGCGGCCGTACCGCTGCGCGACGTGCGGACAGGCGTTCTCGCAGAGCGCCCACCTTAAGTCGCACCAGCGCACGCACACGGGCGAGAAGCCGTACCGCTGCAGCATGTGCGGGCAGAACTTTTCATACTACTGCAGTCTCAAGCGTCACCAGTACATGCACACGGGCGAGAAGCCCTTCCAGTGCTCGGAGTGCAATCGTGCATTCCTCGACCTGAGCAGCCTCAAAAGCCACCTCAACGTCCACCGACGCTACAAGCTCTCGCAGGGGCGGTGGCGGTGATGCTGGGATAATTGCCGCCGAGTCGAGGGTTGGATATAACACCGTGTGCGAAGCTCAAGCCGTTATCTTGGCTCAAGTAATAACCTTGAACAGAAAGCCTTGACTGAAACATACATAGCGAGTGTTTGTGGGAACCGTAATGCTAATCCTTCACGAATCCCCAGGCTCAAATCTATCTGGCTTGACCACCTGAATGTGAAATTGTAGTTGTTGCTCTGCGAAAGAAGAAGGCAAAACCAAATCCCTAGCCCCTTTCGTAATAAAACCTAGTCCTAATGCAATACAATACGAGCCCTAGCTTAGCAAAGACCTTGCCATAACCAACTTTTTCCTTACCCCGGAATTAATCCAAGGAATCCTTTAATGCTACCCCTAACCCTGACAAAATATTCTATCTCAAGTTTTAAACTCTAGCCACCTCTCTCCGAGCCACAGGCCACACTGTAATGTTTCCAATCATTAATTAATTAAGGCCAGGGTTGACAAACAAGGCATTGCTGTGAATACGGCGCCCGACAGGTGACGGATGAGCTTCACTTTTTGAAAACGCATGCCGTTACGGTGTCTTCGATGGACACCTGGTCTCGGTTTCAAATGACACTTGCGTTTCCCAATGAGCTCTTACTTGGTGAAACAAATCTGTTACTGACCAATGGCAACGAATGACCACCGAATGCCACCTCGGCTACAGGAACCGATGGATGGATGACGGATCGAAGGGATTCATGTGTTTTTACGGGAAGACAGACCAGGCAACACACAGCCGTTATGATAGATAATTGATGCACCGCAACAAGAGTGACAGGCTCATCACCAGTGATGATTTGTATCTGGGGCCAATAAGCCCATCCTTATTAACAACAGTTAACCCCCTGATGTGTCCTTCACTCATAGGCACTCGCGTTCAAGTTCAAGAGGTCATCATGGACAATGCCATTTATGCCATGCCACACCTCGCTGTCATTGCTTTCACTTCGGCCGGATCCTGCATTCCGGCAGATGGACTTAATGTTGAGGGTGTCGTTTTTTCACCTCACCCTCACTCCCCCTGCGTCTCTGCTTCTACAGAAGCAGAGCGAGGAGGAGGTGGGGTGGAACCACGCGGCGGCGTTCCCCATCGCGGCTGTCACCGTGGAACTGTGGCACCGGCACCCAGCCATCGGGGAGCTCCTGTTCGCTGACCTGCTGAGCAAGTGCCCCTACTTGGCCCCTTTCTTCCCTCGTCCCACGCCTGGGCAGAGCCAGGAGGACGCTTTCAGGTGAGGGCACTGGGGACATGGGGTGGGGGGTGGGGGGTGAGGAGTGAGGAGTGAACGGTGAGGGCTATGGGTGCACATGGCGTGTGCGTGATGCCCGTGTCTCCCCCCATCACCCGCAGGATCCTCGGTTACCGCTTCGAGGATGGGACACTAGAGGACGAAGACTTGTTCCTCCAGAGAATGTCGGGCATGGCGCGCCTGTACGCGGCCATCGTCTCTGCACCCGTGTCTCCCTCCAGTGGCGACAAGGTAGCCTCACCTTGCTCCAAGAATCAGACCTCACTCTCTTCGTCACGTACAGTTTGGTTCGCTCTGCTAGGCTACGTGTGACATTGTATGCATGCGATTTGCTTAAATCATAAGCCATTGGCTCCGTGTAGCGCAAGTACGAGAATGGGATTTTAAATTGACGAATCCCTCCCACACCTACCCCACGTGCGTTGTGTGCGTGATTCGCAGAGCCACCCCCACGGCGTGAGTTACGGCTGGTCCTGGCTCACGCGGGTCCTGGATATGGAGCCCATGGCCAATGTCACCCCCACCGTGCTCTTCGGCTTTCTGGAGGTACGCAGGAGAGCAAGCACGAGAGCACACTCGCATGAGCACACAGCTCGCTCACACAGCGCACGCACGAACACACGGCTTACACACACGAGCACACGCACGAGCACACAGCGCACAAGCGTTGTGATAGAGACGAGGCTGCCCTGTGACTTGTTGACGTGCTCCTGGCGTGTGTGAGCAGGTGGCAGGCAGTGCCATGGAGGTTGCATACGGCGATCAGCTCTGGGAGCTGCTCGATGTGCTAAGGAAAGAATACATCCCAAGGTACCTCTCACCCAGTGGCAGAACCTAGTCACCATCTCACCTTCACAGAGCCATTTATATTTGTACGTGTTCCTTGCATTGACGCCTGAAGTCGCGATTTTCTTTCTGTTTTTATGTTGTGGCAATAGACTGAATCACCTCGTCAAGTCGCCAGCTAATATCAAAGTAGCATTGCACTTGGACAAAGAGAAGGGTCCTTACACAGCCGTAACTTTCCCCTGCGGATCATAAACTCTGGCTCTTAGGAAGACTCTTCACCAGCCCAGTTTTGCACCCACAGCAATTGGCAGGGAGGCAGTAGCGATGTGATCGACGTGACTGAAGTCAGCTGTCGACAGCAGGCTCCCGTGACAGTGTGTCTCTGAACGAGCTTCAAGCTGTGGTTGGTGATGCTCACCGGTTATGGACTGGAGCCGGGAGTTTGTAAGAATCGATGGATGTGCAACTAAACTCGCTGCGTCTGTTCTTGTCCTGCAGAATCGAGAAGGTGTACATCCCGCAGCAGATGGGAGCTGTGGTCAGACTGAGGCTGTTCCTCGAGGTACCGGCTTTGACGACACAACTTTGACACATACATATTCATTACAGTGTCGTTGTCAAGACTCGCACAGCAATATGTGTAACATTACCTTAAGTCATAACAGCCGCGGAAGTTGACATCACGTAATGATATCTGAAGTCACTCAGGAGCTCCCTTTATCCATACTCGCAGCAATAGCCATCTTATCCTGAGTGGGCACATTGCGAGTTGGTCAGGAGACGTCAGTACAGCAGCGGATTTAACTTAACTATGCGGAGCTGTGTTTATCCAAATATGTTATGGGTTTTCTCCGGAGACTCTGGATTCTTCCCAATCGACAAACTTGCCTTCACGGAATTCGCCAAACATCCCAAAACAGGGCCATCCTGAAGTAGTGTTAACACTCAATGTGGCCGAAGTTACATTCATTCGGGGCATAGTTAGTACCATGTGTGTGGGTGTAATTATTGTCAAAGAATTGTAAGTACATGTCAATCACATGAATGTTAGAGTTCGAAAATCCAAATTAGATGAAAACCTGAGTTGAACAAAGGTATTTTTCTTTGTGAAGTTATCTGTGACCAGGATAATACCTTTAACTCGCTACACTTGAGACTCCAGTTTAATCACAGGTGGCTGAAACCTCAATTCAAACCCAGGATCTGAGTGGTGCTGGCTTTGCACTCAAACACATAATTAGCCCCATATCCACTTAGTCACTTAATGCAAATTTTTCCGTGTCGGGAAGTTGGGAAACACTTCCCAGAAATAAATTAGTAATTCTCCTTTCATCGTGGCATGCGTACACACAAAGGGAGGGTTAATCGTTAATTGCCTGAATCACCAGGTCTCCCCTTCACACGGGGTTTCGAGTACATCATCAGGGATGTGTGCCAGTCCTACCCCAGGCTTGTGTATAACTCACAAATGACATCATTCCCAACCGCATTACACCAGGGATAGTGGGTGAGGTCATTACAATCATCGACCTCACACCTGAATGGGAGGAGCAGGAGGATGGGTGAAAGGTGATTGGCCAGGAGGGTTGAAGGGGAAAGGCAGGGAAGGGTTGAGGGAAGAGCTCGATGGTGGATCGGGACATTTGCCAGGCAACTCTTCACGCGTGTGCCGGACTGATCAATAAACACACAAATAGAACAACCACGCACAGCGTCTAGAACTTCTCTACAAGTTCGGTTTGGGCTGAAAAAGCCTCTGACCGGCGTGCATTGCTTCCTGCACAAGAATCATCAGCTACATTAAAATAACTTTGTAAAATATTCACGTTAACAGCACTCAAGAGACCAGAGCGAGGCATTCTATTGGCACGCTGCCACTGGTTGGCCCTTCAAACCCCACGTGGGGCTGCTGGGCTGCCAGGAGTGTCCACATTAATCCCTGTGTGTGTGTGTTGTGTTTGCCTGCAGGACTGTTTTGTTAATCGGGAGATTCCTTTGCCAAGCGGGCATCTCTCAGAAGAATTTTGGAAGGCTTAACAAGATCACCCTTCACACCTGTACATTATGTAAATATATATTTTTGTATGTAAGTAAAACCCTACGTGTTCAACTGTCAATTATTTATTCGTAAATGAAATAAAAATCCTGAAATTGTTACATTTTGTCATGGTTGCTTGTGTAATGTAGGAATTTGGGCGGGCGACGACTTGACGGGTAGCACACTTTTATTAACACCAACTCACTAACACGTGTGACCAACTGCAGCCATGCTACGAGGTTCCCCCGGCTACACACACACGGGCTCTTACGCCCCGTAGCTTCTAGGGAACCCCCCCAACTGGGGTCTGGGTCTCGACCACTGGGTCCCACAGCCTCGCCCTTACAAGGACGTCAGGCCGCGGGTCCCACGGTCTCGCCTCTGAGCCGCACAGGGTCCCAGCCCTTACAAGGACAGCGGGACTAGGGGTCTCAGGGCCCTGTCTCTTCCAACTCCGTCTTCGATCTTCACTGGTTAACAACTCCCCGAGCGCTCCCGCGCATCCCCCTTTATAGTGCTCCGCTCCCGGGGAGACGGAGCCCATGCGGACCTCGATTAGAGCACCCACCCCAGTTGACCAATCAACACGCGCTGCCACACGATCCTTTTTCCCATCTTGTGTCAGTGCACACAACCACTCACCACGCGCCGGCACATGATCCATCACTGTCAGCGCGCGTCACCACTATACCACGCGATGTAGCCACACCCGACGCGCTCACACACGCTCCCCCCTTGTCAGCGCGTACCGCCACTACACTTGTATGCAATATCTACAATGGTTTGTGTTCCTGGTGTGTAAACAGAAAAAACTAACTGCAAAACACGCACAAATAATCACGAAGATGAATAGCAAAACAAAAACTCACTGGGCATGACGCACCAACCGGGCCTTGATATGGGAAAAGGCAGCGGCAATAACCACGATGTGTTCATTGCCCTTTGCTGAAGGCTACCGAATGTTTGCAAGGCTCAACCAGGACACACAGTGAGTTGGTCGCCCCTCTATCTGTCCCCCTCCTACTTTACATAGCCATGCCTACACTGCCAACTGTTAATATACTCTGCCCACTGATCATAGGCCTTACTAGTCCATCTATCAGCAACGCCGGAGGACCCAGAGAAAAATCCGGGCTTCCACGGCGTTGGGGGGCGCAACCGTCGGAGTGGCAAAGCCTGCCCGATAATAATCCTATACGATGCAAC